GAGCAGACCCTGGTGCACCCGCTGGAGAGCGCGGCGGCAGCGCAAGCAACAGCTTGCAGAGCCCAGCGCCTGTGACAGGGCTCTCTGGCATTAGTGGTGTGAGTCAGCTTGGAAACAATCCTCAGGGTTTCAGACAGGACCACGGAGGGGCCTGGTAGCATCTGAAAGGTGTGGGGGTCGGGGAGAGGTGAAGACAGGGTCCTGACGGGGGGCGGGAAGACTTTCTGTGAAGAGAGCGCGGCGGCAGCGCAAGCAACAGCTTGCAGAGCCCAGCGCCTGTGACAGGGCTCTCTGGCATTAGTGGTGTGAGTCAGCTTGGAAACAATCCTCAGGGTTTCAGACAGGACCACGGAGGGGCCTGGTAGCATCTGAAAGGTGTGGGGGTCGGGGAGAGGTGAAGACAGGGTCCTGACGGGGGGCGGGAAGACTTTCTGTGAATATTAAGTGCAAGATGCTCCCCTCTTCCGTCACCAGCAGATGCCCAGCTTCTTTATAACTGCGACAGTCGTGACCCGATTACAGTGTTCCCTGAATCCTGGCTTCTGAGAGCACTCACTCAAAATTCCTTGTCTCCCACCCAACCTCACACACAAGGGTATTACTTTATTGAGCCCACTCACATGGAATACAAAGAACCCACCCTTTCCAACCCCCTCCCCCCCGTTCGTGTTTCTGAGAAGCTGGAAGAAGAGTTCCTTTTGGAGGCGAAAGGTGAATCACAGCTAGTGCCAAGTGATGCGCCTGATTTAGATTCAGCGTCAGAGCCGGAACGGCCCTTGGCGATCACTTCCAGAGCCACAGACTGGCAAGTGGCAGAGCCAGAGCCAGAAGGCAGGATCTGGGCGCCTGATCTGCGGTATCTTCCTGACAACTCCCAGAGAGAAGGAGCCTGGCGTTTTCAGCATCGGCCAGTCACCACCACCATTTCCAGCTTTATTTCCATTTAGATGTTCTCCCTGTGAGGCGGACTCCAGGGGAAGGCACAGGCTAAATGCCAGCCCATTCCAGACGACCTGTCATCCTGCAGCAGCTCGCACTTTGCAAAGCACTCACGCCCACATGAACTCCCTTAATTTGCAAAACAACCCAGCAAAAGAAGAAGTGGGGCGAGTGCTATGTTTATCCCCATTTTACAGGTGAGTTAAGGCAGACTCCAGGAGGTGAGGGGCTTGCCTGTAGTCACTTGAGCAAGTGGAGGCCCTGGTACCACCCCAACCCGTTTTTTAAGCCCCAGACCCCTACTGGGCTCCTTTCTAGAACTCTCTGCTCCTGGGTTTTTGGTGGTTAGAATTTCTGCTAAGGATGGAAGTCGAAGTTTTGCTTAGGAACAGTTAAGCCCCATTAACTAACAATAATTATTCCTGACATTTATGTAACATTTGACATTTATATAGCACCTTTCATCCCAATGCATCATAACCATGACTGTGCAGTTCACCAGAGAATCATGACTGGACTGGCTAAAAAATGTAATGTTGTGCCTGGATTGTCACATACTTCTGAGCTGGTTTTGACATAATATATGGAAGAGCCACAGGCTGGCATTTGTACTTCCTTTCCATTTTTAAGTGTTTAAACAACTCCCTTCCCTTCAGTGTTCCTTGAGACCATAGAGACCAATGACTTCGTTTCTCACAGCCTTATTCAGAACACTTCACTGAGTTTTCTATTTGTTCTTTTCCACAAACAGCACTGAAGGAACTTGCAGAAGAAGGGCACCCGTCCTAACTTGAATCTTAACCAATAAAACTTTAAATATGACAGCTCAATTACCTGGGTTTACAGAAGGAAGCAACAATATACTGAGGAACAGCCCCCTTGCTCACATTCCCACTCAATTACCAGGACAGAATTTTCCACATAAAGCAGGTATCTACCTCCTTGTTCCTCAAAGAAAAAGTGTGAGACAGCGGAAGACGAAATGTGATGCAGAAAAGGAATACAGCTCGATATATCAGGGCTCAGTCTGAGAGTTTACCTTTAATTATCAGCTGACAAGTAGGACCAAAGGAATAGAATGGAAAATTGAATAAGCAAAGCCTAGGTGATCATCAAATATTTAAAAGCCTTTAAGTAGTTAATCAACAAATAAGCGTTAAACATTTAACCCCTAGTATTCTCTAAACATAAACACATAGATAGGAGTTTTAATGCAAGTAGTTCATAAATTTCTAATACTACCCAAACCACTTCTTGATCTTTAAAAATTATTGCTAACCTTTTGTTTGACATGCTGTCACT